ATATCAAGTCTGGCTTTGAAATGCGATGATAAAAGATGAAATAGAACGAACATCATCCAGATTGACCTTCCAAATTTCAAGTCTCTCTTTCACTGACGAAATTTGTTCTGTCCCAAACTCTCCATTGTGAACCACAAGAGCGATATCTATAATCTTTCCCTGTAATACAAAAAGTTCTCGTGCTAGACCAAAGTACAATGCACCGAAGCCATCGCTAAGTTGATGATCTGGGGTTCCGATGGCTGCGGTCGAAGGGCGATGAGGTCTGAATGTCGCGAGAAATGAGAGGTCTGGGGGGTCAATCCCCTCATAGAGTTGACTCAATAGAAATGGGGGCCTCCCATAAGCCAGCGACAATGATTTATCAATCATGAACAGATTCCAGAAAAGGCAATTCCGCTGGGCGTTCTCTTTACTCTTCTTTGGATATTTTGGGGAAGGAGTGTGGAGATTGAGACTTTGAGCCATTCGACAAGCATGACTTATTAATGTCCAACATAAGCCTGGAGGAACAACATCTTGACTATGACATGATACCATTAATATCGCTTGTATAGCAATTTCTGATGGCTCGAGGAAGAATGAGGAATCTTGAAGAATAATCCACACATTCCACTGAAGACCTCGATTAATCCTAGTGTTTGATGGTTCCATGAAAGCTATTGTGGTTGATAAAAATGCATTGTAAAGCAAAAGCCAGGCTCTTTCGGATACTCTCTTCGGCTCGAACGCAAGCTTCGGAATTGTGTCAAGTGGAGGCATGGTAAAAAACGGTTTACCTCGTTCAATTCCTGCAATGAAGACTTCAAAATGGAATTAGTAACAACATCTGTAGGGTAGACAGGGTGTTTAATGATCAGAACTAGCAGATTAAGTATAAGTTCTCTCTGGAAGTGCGAAGCTTGAGATCATCTTACTTTGTATCATACGATCCCCTTCAGCCTTATCTGGAATGAAGAAAACTTCCCTCTGCCTTCTAAAATGTTTGACATTTGAATAAATGTCAGGATCGTCAAAACTTCCTTCGGAAAATATTGTGGTGAGGTATGATAATCCATTCTCAGCATCTCGTTGTAGACCCGGCTCGAGATTACTCGACTTCATTTCAGCTGTCGTAATACTACTCTTTGCTTGACTCAATATTGAAGGAGCGGAAGAATCATCGTTGGTATGTTCGTTTTGCTCCCCATCACAGGCTGGTGATTTGACGAAGCTATTTGAATCAGCTATGATATCTTTGTCACTCTCATAGTTCGGTAAGTTCAAGTAAGTGGGTTCGTGATTAGTAGAAGAGGTCGGCAAGGTATGAACGATGGACTCGACAACATGTGAGCTATCTAAGTTCCGTTCTGAATGATTGTTGACGCTGTCTTGCAGAATGCTTTTCACTCATTAGATCTCTTTCATGGTGGCTTAGTAACCTTAGACTTACTTCGTCCTAGGTCGTCTGGGGATTCTTCCACGGCGGGAGTAAGTACATGGACCAGACCATCCCTGGCAATTCACACATTTCGGTTTCTCTCTAGAGCATTTAAGCTACCAACGTTCAGATTTTGATATCATAAGAACGAGGAATAATTGATCAGACTAACCTTTCTACGTTTACAATGGTCGCACTATTATCACCGGACTTTATAAGTATATAAATTGCAAGGGGCAATTCCAAACTCACAGCGTATTGTTCTAGCTCCGTCTGCTTTGTAATCGGCATTTTGGGTCCTTGTGAATCCCTCATGGTTGCGTCGGGAGGAGAATTGGTCGGGGTCGCCATGACTTGTTGATGAAGGAATCGATTTGCTTGGATACGGATTTTAACGGAGCGAAAGAAAATATCAATAGAAAGTTTTAGGATAGATGGAAGATATTGCGGTATGTCCTAAGTTGTATGGAATATATTGAACGGATGTTAAACGGTAAATGGAGATGGCACGGAACTTAGATGGAGGTTATGAATTTTGCTTACAAAGGGGTCAGTGCTGGTTGGAGCTTAGGATGTACGGTACTCAGCCCAGGGTGAAAGGCATTTATTACATACCCTCGGATACCAAACCATCAAAAATAAAAATCTTCACAATTCACTTTTATGTATACATCATGGAGCAATCATAAATTGTTTTGTGATATACAAAAGCTTCACATATATCTCCATTACGAGCTCTTGAATGATCCAAGATGTTCTCAGAATAGATAAAAAAATCGATGAATGGATTAACGGTTGAATTTTGAAAAAAGTATCTGATTACGATGGGCAATGCATTCTGTTCATATAAAGCCTAGCTAGCGAATAAATAAGCATCAATACAAAGCAGCGTTGGTAAATTAATTATGCAGAGGCACTATTATGTAGCTCATTAAGCATACAAGCCACAAATCCGATCATAATCAATACAACCCAGCTATACCTACTCGAGACTGAGTATTCAAGAACGACTCGAGAACCCTTTCTTTTGAATCGATCGGGCTTGAAAGTGTCAAGAGACTACGTGCCCACAGCGCTATTTGGTCTGAATCAAAGGCTTGGTTCCAGTGTCAAAAATTGAGCAGCCGCGAGATATTGAACTGTTAGGAAAATCTTAAAGAGCGAGGGACGCTCGAAGGAAACTGTCTAGGGATGTTACTATGATATATTGACCCATATGTCAGCTTAAGACAGGATTGGCATGCTGAGGGTATGCTCTCAAGGCTTCGCTTGGTGTTTCGTTTTTCATGGGACAGGAAAATCTAGTGCACCTGTTGTAAGAAGTGCATATCATTCTTTCCACGTGCAAGCGAGAGTAAGCCGCTAGAAAAGATCAGTAAGGCCTTAGCGAAAGGCTTCTGCAATGTCCCAATACTCAAAAATCATACCTATGGACCTGTGGTGCAGTGCCTAAGCCCCCCAAGTTAGTTTTAAGCTCAGTAGAACAGTAGCAACAGAGCAAATTGACGATCAACTTGTTACCATGTGTTATCTTACTAAAGTATCGGATTCGGAAGTAAGCATTATGAAGAACGTACCTCATCAACTGGTTGATTTTGCGGCCCAGGAAATTGAACACAAAGATCTTTGAAAACTCGACTTTGTGATGATAGCTACAAAGAGCACCGAGGGCAAGTTTGAACAGGTTAACCTTCTGTCTTTACAAAAATGTGGGATCTTCTGAATGAACGGAATGGAGGACGATCGTCTGCAGTTGCTTTCCAATTTCCGTAAACATGATTCTGCAATTTTTATTCGACATACGAAACGTTGACATCTCAAGATTGAAATTAAACACCAAATTGCGGAATAATATTTGACCGAGAGGATTTGCCATCTTGGACGAGAACGAAGGAAGCTCAGAGTTTGACGTACATGTAAACATCCTTTTGTGGGAGATTTGATCCGAATTTCGTAAAGCTAAAAGTGCGATAGTCTTAACCGAACAACATACGAGAAACTTATTGATGGTTGATGGTTGATGGTTTGCTTTGATTGCTGTTTGTGAGGGTAGGACCCTGAAGTGCGCTGTGGGTGGCGAGCATAAAGTATCGTGTCGTGCTATAATTTGATTGAAGAATCTTTCCACGCCAACACACCCTACTGTTGTACCAAAATTCACAGGAGGAAAATTAGTTCAATTCTACCGGTATTTGTGAATCGGGCTCTCGGGGTCTGGCATCGTATTTCAACAACAGTATCCCACTAGATAAACGGTAGGGTTAGTATCGGCGGTGAAGGACCGTCCTGCGCTACCGTGGCTGTACATATCTACCAAAAACGTGGTTCTCCATCAAGGTGGCTGGTAGTTGTCACTGCCCCTCTCACTCAAGCAACGCCAAGAACCTCGTGTATGAATTTTAAGCTCCATTTTGGTGCTGATTGACTGGTCGTCAGCCCCCAGAAAAATCAGATGGACGGCTAGGATGGCATGAAGTCAACAATTAAACTTTGTGTGTCCGGGTCGATGTCGTATATCATTGGCTTGAATCTTGTTCCTCGTGTCTAAGACTCGCACTAACATCAATCCGTCGAAGCTTCGGGCACCATCTTTAACCTCGAGCCTCGTTCCTGTGTGCCGATACGACGCATACGAGATATCAAGAATTTTCTTTCAGCATGACTGGTGGACCCAGCTTGCAATTATCATAACCGAGAAACAACCCTCAAATTGGCTCTTTCATAAGAAGGGATATGAATTCATTTTCACATTTGAGATGATTTATAATTGGAGAAATAGGATTTTAACCTATTGAATTGCTCTTACAGACAGTTCCAAGAAGAAACATTGTCTCATTCTTTAGATACCAAATTCTGATCCGGGTGTAGCATTTTGGTGCTCGGCATTTTCTATCCGTCGCGAGCTCAGGCATTCAGATCCCCACAAACATCTTTTTTCGTCACGCCATTCGTACGAGAACCAAGACTTTTAGTAACATGATTGTGTACCAGGGCTCAGATCGTTCTTCATGACAATGACGTCTAGGGCCAGATATATTTTGGGCAGACCCCTGGTTTTGAGATCAGCGGACAAGCTAGACTCCCCGATTCCGAATCTAGCAAAATCGAATAACTAGTTTTGGAATGTCGGCCGTCGGTTATGTGAACTTTATTCAATCTCAAAATCCAAATCAGGTCATTTTCTTTGCTTAATATCTATTCTTGGTGTGAGGTTCTTGGCCGGTATGACTTTGAAGGCAAGAATGTGTTGGCTAAAGCAATTCTCGAGAAACTATTGGAACCATTGAATAGGTACGAGTTATTGTGGGTGACCCCTCGGTAAATACTGGGGACAACATATTGATGTGTTAAGTGTGCCAAGCCATGTGAGATATTAGTGCAGTGGAATCAATGAATGTGTAGAACATAGATGAATCAAATTTGATATATAATGTGTCGAGTCCTTCCTCGAAACTCATGATATCGAGCAATCAATCCATCATATACTTTACGATCACTTTTTAAAAACAATCCAAATCCGCATCCTCGATCCGACTCAACAACGCCCAATTAACAAGGAACAACACAATATCGAATCAAAATGCATTTCCAAGATATTGCATTCGCTCTCTTTGTAACTGGAGCATTCGCTGCACCAGCTGCGTTAAAATCTAGAGATGCATGCTCTGATGCCTGCAACACTGAGTACAACAACTGTCGAAGTGCTCCAGGTGCGAACCGATCCACTTGTGCTTCCAACTATGCATCATGCCTTGGATATTCCCCGTATGATAGCAATGGATCACTCGTCACCCCAACTGCTTGCTCCTCGTCAGTAGCATCAACTACAGCTTCATCCGCTACATCATCCGCCACAGCTGATGCTTGCGTATCCCAATGTAACGCATCATACAACACCTGTCGAAGTGCTCCAGGTGCAAACCAATCCACTTGTGCTTCCAACTACGCATCATGCCTTGGATATTCCCCGTATGATAGCAATGGATCTTTCGTCACCCCAACTGCTTGCTCCTCGTCAGTAGCATCAACTACAGCTTCATCCGCTACATCATCCGCCACAGCTGATGCTTGCGTATCCCAATGTAACGCATCATACAACACCTGTCGAAGTGCTCCAGGTGCAAACCAATCCACTTGTGCTTCCAACTACGCATCATGCCTTGGATATTCCCCATATGATAGTAACGGGTCACTCGTCACCCCAACTGCTTGCTCTTCAGTAGCATCATCAACCACTACTCAAGCTACTTCGTCTGCTACAAGTGACGCTTGTGTATCTAAATGCAACGACTCATACAACTCATGTCGATCTGCTCCAGGTGCAAACCAATCCACTTGTGCTTCCAACTACGCATCATGCCTTGGATATTCCCCATATGATAGTAACGGGTCACTCGTCACCCCAACTGCTTGCTCTTCAGTAGCATCATCAACCACTACTCAAGCTACTTCGTCTGCTACAAGTGACGCCTGTGTATCTAAATGCAACGACTCATACAACTCATGTCGATCTGCTCCAGATGCTAACAGAGCTACATGTGCATCTGAATATGCCACATGTCTTGGATATTCACCTTTTGACAACAGCGGATCCCTAGTCGCTCCTACCGCATGCTCAAGCGGCGCCGTTTCTACAACAAATGCACCAAGTTCCACACAAGCCCCTCAGGCTTCCGGGACCCCTTCTCCAGATCAAACTTCGATTGTTGAGGGTGTCGAATGGACTATCAAGCAATTGACCAGATACTGTTCCGAAGATGGATCTGGATGCGATTACAACTTTGCCATCTCCTACAACGATGAGCGACCTGATGAGAGATGTACCGTCATTCGTATGCCAGGAAGTGGTGCTACTACCGAGTCTTGGTATGGAATTCCATGTACTACAGGATCTGTAAACACCATCGCTTGGGGAGTATCTGACCAATTTGGTGCCGAAAATGCATTTGCGGTTTTGACTGTCACCAACAACGAAGAAAAGACAAATGCCTATTTCGGTGTCGCGAACGTGAACGGAAACCCAGTCACTCCTTCAAGTCCAGCTGGATCCGGTAATTTTGGAGACATTGGTCCTGAGCCAGTTTATGTCTTCTAAGAGATCGGTTGCTTTGCTGTTTTTTGTAGCGATTTGGAGATGAATTAATGAACGATGATATGCATGGCTTGGATCACTGTATAATAACACATTCCTTTATGTATTTTTGTGAGCGGCGTTGGGATGACGAGAAATGAGGAACTACCTTGTATATAACACACTCATTAGACATAATTATTAGATATAATCAACAAAAAATTCTCGATGTAGCTAAACCCCCCCCCCCCCCTTGTCAAATTTTGTATTGATGACTAAACCCTCCATTGCGTATGTCTCTCTTTGCATCCCCTACCGAGATTTACGATAAACAAGGTATAATTAGACTTATCAGTATTTCATATTTCTGACTTCTTGCCAAAATGGCTATCTAATATCAAGCTGCAGCTTGCCAGACTACTTTCCACTCTCACGTTATCCGCCGCTCTTCATGTATTCGGGTAGCTCGAGCTTGAATGTCTGATATGAGATAATACGCATACCCGCTTACACACCCGATGGCACACTCGTTTAGACGCTTGGCTTGTAGCCGAGCTCGCTGCATCGAGTGCAACCATCCATTCAAATATCACAATAAAAGTTGGAGATTGTTGATTGTAATATTGCAGTCAATCGACTGGAAATTATCTCACGTTAAGGGAGTCTTTGTAATCCTTCTAGAAGATCTAGTTGGGTTTAAATCCAAACCACAATTCATCAAGCTGGTTGCCATTCCTTGGCATTAAAAAGATCCTTATGAGAGGATCAAGAGAGCTTCCATCGCCTTAGCCTTTGCATTTTGAGTGTAATGCAAATACCTGGAATTAAGCAAGTGAAAGCGCATTTTAGATAAATTATTATTCACCTTGAGTAAAGAGAATTAAAGTTTGATTGAAGAGAATGCTTCGCCCGAGGAGATATATGAAATCGTGGAGAATCAATTTGGCAGATTATCAGTAAGAGTCAAATGGACATAGAAGCTCACATAGTCTTACCAAGATATCATGTATAAAATGGAGCTTTGGTCGTCTATGCTCTTCTTTTCATGATCATTAATTACTCCTTTTCCATTAATCTCAAACTAACCAATTATCATTCGAAAAGTCAATATCCAAAGCATCAACGCCAAGCAGAATGAGATCTTCTGCTCATAGAACAGCTTTGTGCTTCACCTCCTCGGTAGGAATCTTGGAGGGCTTAGATGTTGCAATGGTTTGGATACGTCTGGCATTTGCTTGATGTTGATCTCGCCGCCGGTGCCTGTAGTTTGTTTTCTGTCCTCAATTGGCTTCTGAAATATCTGCTCATCACGATGGACAAGAAATGTTGACCGAAACGTAAACGATCAAACACACTCTGTAAAATCAGCGGTGGAAACTGTGTTTCTGGGAGTCGTCCTAGTTGTACTTAAAAGGGCTTCAAAATCTCAATTTTGAGCTCTAGAACCTCAAATTACTCAAGACCTAAGCGTTTAGACTTTCATTTTTTGTTCTATTATATTCGAAATATTTTATAGTAATATTGCAAATATTAGTTATATTATTCGAATTAAAATTATTTCTGATTATAGTTTAAGATTTATCTATCAATTATACTTTTATCTTTATAATATTATTATCAAATTGGATAATAATCTTTACTCTCTTGGAGCTTTTGATTAGTTTTTTGAATTATTTGAAATAAACTTTAATTACTAAAGTTGTAATAGCTATAGTGATGTTAATCTATAGTTGTTTGTTATTTGGAATAAAGATGGTAATTCTTTTTAGGAGTAGAAGTGCTTGTCGTGCTTCATATAGAGACAAAAACATTTCTGTTTGCACAGGTAATCTGGGAAAGTCCGACTTCGGCTTTGTTGTGTCAGCCCCACCGTCTTCTATTTAACTGTATTGTAATATTCGAAGTCTTTTTTCGTGGCTGGAAGGAAGTCACTAGACTCGGTATAGTTCTAAGCTGGTACAGTATAATTACTATTGTTAGTATATTTACCAAAATCGATGCTGAGGGTAGAATGACTCTGGCAAACAACGGGAAATACGCCAAGACCAGTGGGTCTATCGCCGATGAACAAAAATATTGAATATTGCTGTCATTTTCGATTTTAGGGGTGAGTTTGGGACGCAGTGCGCAGGGTCGTGAGACCGAGAGTGGAGAAATGGTGAAAGACTAAGATGATCAAGATGTTTGAAGCTTTGTGGAATGAAACCTGATTCAAAAAGACAACTGTTGGGGCTTTTTATTCAAAATTGGTGTACCATCTAGGAAAGTCATTAGATCCACGATGCTCAGGTCGTGAATCGAGCATTGCTGCTCTGTGATCGCTACATATTTTTCTCCTCTCCATTCCCTTGTCAAGCAAGACCACTGGCATCTATTGACAGTGTGAAAGATCCGTCCCGTTCTGTATCTCTTCTGAGTATCCTGAATAGTTCTACCTCGCAGCCTAGCCAGCAGTCAGTGAGCAATTCGACTCAGAAGATCGCAAAAAAATGCCGCACTGTGCCACTGATGTGGGGTCCTCCCACAACTTTGAGTGGTAAAATCACAAGAAATACCTTCTTCGATATAACGATTCTACTCTTCAAGATGGAAGAATAACTTCAATAAACTCGACAAGGATAAATAATTAATTCTCTCAGTTAAGAGTGCTTGGGAATCAAGGAAGTGAGAAGTACGTATATAAGAGGTGAATAAAAGTTGAGATCGCCTACTGTGTTGCCAGGACCCTGAACATGGGCCAATCTAGCTGTATGGAGTTTCCTTCTTTGGGTGCAGACCAACAGGTATCGATCTGATACTAGAGACAATCAATTTATCACCTCTCTGAAGGTCTTGAAGGATGTAGTAGTAGCTATAGAAGTTTTGAGAAAAGAAAAGGACAATTCTTCCTTAGTCATATCCAGATCTTCTTACATTGGCAATCAACGAGGTTCATTATTGATGTCCCTTATCCTGTGCAATGTGGGGTAAGCCAAGGCCATTATTATTGGACCGAGCACCACATCCCCTCATTTTTGATTCCGTGGATAGTGTACACTGTACCATACGATATCAATAGCAATAGCATTTGGCAAAGATAATGAATTATTCGAATATTCAGACCGACGACAATCTGTTCTCGACAAGATCATCTCTCCTCTGAAAGATGCATCTACAGGGAGAACAAAAAAGATCCTTGTTCCGCCCCCACGTCACTAAATTTATCCCCGCAAACTAGCCAATGAAGTATACCAACAGTTGTTATCAACGAAAACACTATTCGCCTAGCAATTTCCCAATTGACATCTCTCTGCATGATAGCCTTGATACCATGAGAAAAGGTGAGAGTGGCTTCAGCAAGACGGAAAAACGGGTACATGAAACTCGATAAGATCGGAGCTCTATTGAAAAAGACTATAACTTCGATGTTTGATAATCATACTTGAGAATATCTCAAAATTTATCAGAACTTTACCAGTATATGGATGTGTATTTCGGGTATTTCAATTCTTTAATTTGTTCAAAAATTGAAAATGATCAACGATCCAATCTAACGGAGAATTGTAAAAATAAAGGAATCTTAAAATATGCTTGTTTTTCCGTCCTACCAAGAATAAGTATGGAATGACTGGACGTAAACGAAGATCGAGAAGTGATGTGAAAGGAAGACTGAGAAATTAATAAAGATGTCATTAGTCAGTATCATATGTATCTCCAAGTAAGAATGAGTAGTACTGGGGGTTTGGGGTGGATGCATGGGTTGAGCAAGGCACATTAGCTAGATACGAGTACACTTTCCTTGGTTCGTGTAATTATGATGAATGACTTATATATATACCTAGTAGGTACATATATCTTTGCATTTTTGATTCTTTTATCTTCATTATTTACAAAAAAAAAGACATCGGAATTGATATCATGTCAAATGCTTTGTATGCACGGATTACGTCGCTGGCTGAATGCCATGCGCCAATCCAGCTTCACATGAGTCCAAATATTTCCTCCTCGGAAAACTTGAAGAATCCTGCACACAAATCAGAGAGTTCCTCGGAGGAATTGCTACGAGAAACCTCATTGCTTACAGTTTCAAAATGGGGTTCTGGCTCCAAAACACCTATGCTGATGTTTTGTTTCTATACTATTGGTACATGATTCCTTGCTGTTGAAAAAGACGAGTGCTATCGCTAAAATATACCATCTAGCTTTGACCACAGCATTTGCTCATCTCGGCCTATTTTTATACTTGGATGGAAAACCCGCTGATGGAACAAATAGTGATGCCCCCAAGCAATCCTATGTATCAGCAGCCTCAATAATTCTTGGGAATATTTTCACGCTTTCTCTTACTGGATCGGTGACAATTGTTTTTACTCAATATCTCTGGTATATTCTACGGACTACGACCCTAAAAGTTTCTACGATAGAGTCCATGTTTGCAATGCAAGCTAATCCCCTGCTACTACGCGATTTTAACGCTTGGCAGAAAGCTCCAATTCTGGTAGCTCTTGTGATACTCGTGTGGTTGATGAATATCGCTGCCAGTTTCGCGCCAGGGGCTCTGATAGTTGGCCCAACAACTAGATATTCATATCAGATTGTAGAAGTTCCTACCTTCGATAGCTCCTTTGTAAGTTTTCGTTATACTACCGGATGTTCACGATTATCGCTGACACAACCAAGGTAGGCAATGGTTCTGGCGCGGACGCCAACAAATTTTCTTTGGATAAATTTGACATTAATGACTATGATACCTTCTTTCCTGTGTATGTATTATATACAATAAACGGTCCAATCCATAATACTAATCATTTAATCATAGTTCAACTGCGGGAAGCTATTCACAGCCATTACAAAGGCTCGCTGCCTCAACTATGACTGTTGGAAAACAAAGCGCAATGCACTCACCGTGTGGAGCCAACTGCTCATACACGTTAAACCTTGAAGGTCCTTATCTCCAATGTGCTGGCCCAAACTTTCAGTACGGTGTATTCAACACGACCAGCTCATCGTGGTCTGATAATTTCCAGTCGATCGGTCAAAACATCACATTTGAAACACACGATGATGGTACCGATCTTCTCGTATGGAACGCATATCAAGGTTTCTTGTTTGACCCGTGGGTGGGGGGGAGTGAAGAAGCGCGAGCGACGGCTAGCCAAATGAATATTATCGCTCCATCTCAATTTTCTACTCAAACGATCCGACCTTTGGGTATGCGAAATCCTGCTGTCAGAGAAAGTGCATCTGATTCTTTCGGAAATTTGGTTGCCATAGAAGGAAATTATATCAATTGTTCGGCTGCAACGGCTACGTACACTGTGGCATACGTGTATGAAAACAACATTCTGTCTACCAATGTTTCTGTAAGTTCAATTAACATCATAAAGAATCTTGGAACAACGAAGGAAATGTCCAATGTGACCCAAGAATACGGAATAAGTTGGCCTGGATTCCTAGTCACCACAGCAAACAGAACTGAGGAGTGGTTGTTGGGTCTTGGGAGCTCGTATTTAGGATACGAGCCTGTAAACTGGACGAGTGATTGGGTTTCTTGGTACAAGAACCTGCAAGTTATGGCTATCATAAACAGTATGACTAGATTACTGAATGGAACCTATCCTGTCGAGCTTATCCAATTTGGTGATGCTACAAGTTCTCTAAGTTCAGCCTACGGACTAGGGGTTGACGTTTGGGGGACTGAAGTTTCATGGGTTGATTTTCTAAATACATTTCCGACAAGTTCTACATGTGAGTCTCGCTAAGTATTCCGCTCCAACGTTTCATATATAGTCATTCAGAATTTGTCCGTCAGACTAACATTTGAATGCCAGCCGCGGATTTGTTAAAAAGTACACTGATAGGCTATACGCCTTTCAATGATAACTTTGGAAATTTCAATGTAACTGCTTACTCATGGGCTAATAGACCCACCGCAAATTTAAAGTATGATGGCGTCTCATTCACCTTGACGCCTGAATTACTTAATCAGCTCCTTCAAAATATCACACTCAACATGATTAGCGAAATTGGCTGGTGGTCCGCACATTCAAACGTTACACAATGGGAATCAATCAATACATTCCAATTTTCTAAACCTCTAAATCTCATACTACCCTACTTCATCTCCCTTTTCCTCGCAATCCCGATTCTGGTCTTAGGTATTTGGTCCCTACGCCAAAATGGAGTATCAGCTATGAACAATAGCTTCGTACAGATACTCAACACGACAACTGGAAGTAAAGAGCTAGAGAGAACTGCGGGGAGAGGATGCTTAGGAGGTTATGATAATGTATCGGATGAGCTGATGGACTTAAAAATTAGGTTTGGGGAGTTGAAGGATGTAGGGCGGGGTGACGAGAGGAGTATCAATGGCGTAAGGAGAGCGGGGTTTGGGACAGAGCAAGAGATTATGCCTTTAGTAAAGAGTGAGATTTATGGCTTTTAATATACGTTTGATAATCGATGATATAATGATTGAAAACATAAACGATACAATCGAGAGCTCAAATTCTCATTCTCTGGTTTATATTCTTGAGTTTTAAGTCTTTATAGATATAGAAAAATATTTATATACCTAATCAGATGCTTAATTGTAGAGCTAAATGTTTCGATAATACTAGAAGTTCTATTATAACTATAAAGAATTCATGAAACAAAGATATTATATCTTGATCAGAAAATCTATTATCAAAAATTTTATTATGAAAAGAATTTTATTGATAAAAGAATTCTACTCAGAGAATAAATATTATAAAAAAAACTATTATAAAAATAATTTTATTAATAATAATAATAATTCTAGTCTAGTTTTTTTCAAAAAGATTTCATTATAAAAAAGAATCTTTTTATGGAAAGAATTTTATCAATAAAAAAAACCTAATCTCCTTAAACGTTATTAATACTACTAAGATTATTCCCTATCTTAGCAAAATCAGAAACGAATTCACATCTACTAATTAATCGATAGTTCTTCTACTTGATCTTCCCCTCTCGTCCTTTATATAGAGCGCTATTAAGATCTTCATCATACTATTTTTGAACGTATGTTCGCTATTAATCCACGTTTTCAGGTTACAGAAAATATTATATTAGTTTTCAACGTTTGCCGGAAGCTATACCTAAGCTTTCATTATAAATAAATGTTAAACGCAATATTACAATCATAGGTCGATTTTGTCTCTGTTTCATATAAGTTGTAGCATGAAAAGCTGATTTACTATAACACCAAAAAATTAACATTCAAAGTGTAGTCATTGTATTCTGGATGTGTCTATGGAATATAAGACATATCAGAGTCAATGTTATGATTTCTATCGATATAATAACGTGTAAGTCTAATACAATAGGGGTCTTCTGCGCTGCAATACAATGTATAATATACTAGAAAGAAGGAAAGAAAGAAAGAAAGAAGAAAGAAAGAAAGAAAGAAGAAAGAAAGAAAGAAAGAAAGAAAGAAAGAAAGAAAGAAGGGGGTGAAATTATACCAGAGATTGTTCACATCATCAAACTCAACGGATGTTGTATAGACTACCAACATTCGGGAGTGAAGCCTCGAGATTGGCTGAGAATGCTGGTAGGGGCTACCCACCAGCAGTTGATCGATCAGCTTCGCGAACTCACCTATTCCCTCGAGTAAAGTGATAATACTACACAGAGAATAATCTACCGTGTAAGTAATGATATAACACTACTTTATAGATTTAACTGATTTCAACTCAGCAACTGGAAATTGTAATGGTTCGAGTGGGCGAGGACCTGAAGATTTTCAAGCTTCTGGCTTCCTGGGAGATTTATTTGACGGTAGAGGAGCTCTCCAAAGAAACTGGTGCTGCAACTGTCTTACTTGGCCGCATCTTGAGGTATTTTGCTCCAATGAAGCTTATCAAGGAGACTGGAACAGACCACTGTGCCCCTACGAAATCACAAAAACACCCGCCGCTCCAGGCAAAACAGCTGGTCTCTCTCATCAGCAGATACCGGACTTCTCTGTCTGATTAGGATCTGAATCCAGATATTTTGGTAATTCAATCTTGTCGGACTTATGTGGGCTGATCTTCCAAGCTTCCTTGTGAACCACAATTATCAGGCTGTAACTGATGGTAACGATACATACTGGCATTGTACTAATAAATCAGACAAGCATATATTTAGCTGGATTGGACGTCACCCTGATGTAGCAGCAAGTTGCAGAAAATAGATGGCACAATACATGCAAGGCCAGAAGACGTGTCTGGATACTTTCCCCCTAGATAAAGAAATGTGTGGCTGGAAGCCAACAAGTGGTGAAGACGTGCTTCTAGTCGATGTCTGTGGCAATATCGGCCCTCTTTTAGATGAATTGAAGGCCAAGACTGCCGGCATCGAAAATCGAATTATGTATTTTGCAGGAACTTCCCAAAGACAGCACCCTGCGATCTGGACAAGACCAGCGACGCGATACTTATGCAGCTGCGGAGAAGCCTGCTGTTCAAATCACGGTCCATGACACTAATACCCCTCAGTCCTTCAAAAGTATGTATAATTCTGTGATTTGGCCAAGAATTCTAGTTATTTATCCGACGTAAATGTCAAATTTTACTACATTCGAAGTGAATTCCCCGGCTTTCAAAATGAAAAATGCCGCTCTATTCTAAGCAAAGTTGAATGAAAAGATCTTCCCTGACTCCAATGTCAACTGGCAGATGACCCAAATTGGTATCTCAATGATGGCATGTCCTGCCTCTCTTGAGCGAACAGAGGCAATGTGGGGTGCCTTTCTTGATTCAGTTGGACTCAACGTTGTGAGAAAATATTTCTATCAACCTGAGTTTTGTGACGGTTGTACTGGTCGCTGAACGCAAGTGAAATGCATCTTTGGAACAATTCTTAGAAGGGACGAGGAAATCAGGTAGGGAAAACCAGATATCGAAATCAACTGGGTAGCTAGCCAGTTTCAGAGTAGAATGAAAAAGGCCGTCTGGAGTAAGGATAATTTATTGATTAGCTTCTACGTAGTCGTTCGTGTGAGGATGGCGAGGTAATCCACACGATAATCGACAGCTGAATATTTGCTCAACTCTTCGAGGCTGGAAGCTTGGAATTCGACAAAATCTAGCATGATTTTATAAAAGTATAATTTTCCTTTAATTTACGCATATCCGGTGCTGGATACGTATATCTGATCTGATCTGTGAACATGGCCGAGTTAGATGTGGGAAGGTCACGTTACCATCATTTAAATGGGTCAATCAGAGCTCTCAAATACGGGTAGTCCGGCCTTCCCTTGATAGGGATCTTGCCCTCAATTCCCACAGCCTACAGCCAGGAAATTATTGGTGTTTGATAGTCGCATAAACTAGCTATTTCTGCTATGCACAACTTTATATGTCAGCCATCTTTCACACTTGGGCAAGGAGCGTTCATGTAAATCTTGGCATTAATTGCCTCGACCAAATATCTACTGATCTATACTATATTTAGTCTAGTTTCATATTCATTACTCCAACATCACGTGATCAAAAGACACGGCAAACTTTCTTTCCACGACACGCCACACGTCAAAGTATTTGGTGCCCAGGTGGTTGCGCAATATTTATTGCAATTGTACAAAACACAGTCTCTCCATCGCCATCGCTATATCAATCATCTCCATCGCACGACATTTATTACGACTTTACGAGTACACCCACCCTGGCGGTGGTTACGTTCTTCACCTGTAGGTAGGCGGATCTCGAGACTCCTCTTCTAGGATGGCTAGGTACCACCTCTTGTAGGCTGATCAAATGTCACCTGTAGCAGGCGGATCTCGAGACTCCTCTTCTAGTAGGATGGCTAAGTATTACCTCTTGTAGGCTGATCAAATGTCACCTGTAGCAGGCGGATCTCGAGACTCCTCTTCTAGGATGGCTAGGTACCACCTCTTGTAGGCTGATCAAATGTCACCTGTAGCAGGCGGATCTCGAGACTCCTCTTCTAGTAGGATGGCTAAGTATCACCTCTTGTAGGCTGGTCAAATGTCACCTGAAGTAAGAGACTAAGTATCTCCTCCCTACAACGAGCTTGGTTTCTAGATAAATATATTGTTGAGGATAGTATTCTAAGGCTTTTCATTCTGCTTACATTGGTCGCATCTTATTACCTATCGAAATAGCGCTAACAATTGTCTTTGCAGGTGTCCCATCTTCAATATATTACAACAACAGGCCGCTATGGCTTCTCCGACGTTCGGCTGTACAGAGGTGCCCGTAGTTATTAAATGGGCGGACGCTGGACAATACAGCTATATTGGCACACGAATTCAAAATCTACGAATGAATATACACCTCGGCACACACGAAAGTCCCAAATTGCTCTTTTGGTTCACAGTAACAATTGGAGTTACAGCGAGCCCTGAATCCTCTACGATACGTACAAAGTTGCTCTACTTCGTTATCCAAGCTAGTTTGCTTGGTTATAATGAGAATGATGAATGTCTCTCATTAGAGACTCCAAACTCTGATTGTTCTCCCGACACTAGCGCTGCTATACGAGAGGCTGGCATATGTTCCGACTATGCCTCTGTTTCCCGAATATGCTTTCAGCTCCACAACCATGGCACAGTGTTCATGCCTCCTACTGAGAAGCATGCCTTTACCCCTGCGTCGGATAATGTCTTACAACTATTGTCTAGCATGGAGTCCCTTTCCCAGGCCAAGCGATTCTGGGTATATACATCGCTTGAAGATTCGCTTCTTACGAGTATTTGGAAAAGGATCGATCGAATACGCAAGGGAGCCTTTACAGGTGACTTTACGACTCAGAGTGTATATAAACGTGGTATGGTATGCGACAAATGGACGAATTTCAATCAATTTGTGAGACTGGAGAACCCGGCAAAACATAAAAGCAATTGTCATGGTGTAAAGCATAACTCCGATGCTCTACCGCTATATACTAGTGAATGTCAGGGTGCTGGAGTGGAACACACAGGTGATTTAGCAGTTGACTTGGTAGTGAGCAATAGCGCTGACATCCTAACATTAAAGATGATGATCGAATATACGAATCTAGTAGAATCTCTGGCAAACATTCATCTTCCCATGATCTCGATCAACACCATTCAGATACCGAATCCGATGAAGAACTATCTATAGGGCGGAAACGCAAATACAACAAGATATCTTCCGATACCCTAGGTAACCTTAGGAACTTTAATAGTGCTAGTATACTTGATTCTAGTGAGCGATTCGTTTTAGGCCTCTTTCTCTCAAGATTCCTCCAGCACTACTAACTATGTCACCTAGATAAATCCTGCTTAGATCGTCAGCGTTCCAGAGTTCGGTTCGCCAAACCTCGTAGCGAAGTTCCGGGCTATCTTGAAAAGCAATTGGCTGCCTTTATACGTTGGGTGTTAGAGATCGACTTACACTTGGAGAAGGATTGTGAGCAGATTTTCTCAGATCTTGGCGGGGCAGTGTCTCGTGGAGACATAACTAGGTTTAACGAAATCAAGACAGACTGCATGGCGAATATTTACATTACATATGCTAAGAGAGGATCTAAATGGGTTTTAAGGAATACTATCTGAAAAGACATTGCTACAACTCTAGTTTGAGCTATAGTTATAATGTTTTCGATGCGAACAATAACACTTCGTCGCAAGAGAACTATAAGAGCAAGATACAATTTATTCTTAGAATTTATAACTATAGAATTGAGAGCCTAGTGTTTACAGATAGACAGAGTCAACAAAAAGACCATTGTTCTCCGTAAGGAGTGGCTGGCTTAGTGGTAAAGTGATTGGTGCCCACTTCTGCTCAGAGCCATATCCCGATCGATATCTGTCTTTTCGAAGTTTAATCATCTACAAATTGTCACGGATCGCACCCAATCGCAGCTGCGATCGCTCACGTGCGCGCTTGCACACGTGCACAATCACATGTACATAGCTAGTATATAGAAGTACTCTACAAGCGCTTTACTCCCGATTCTATAATTATAAATTCTAAGGATAAATTGTACCCTACTCTTATAATTCTTTTAAGGTAAAGTATTATATTATCTATAACTCATTATACGATTACATAGCTATTTGGTGGCCAATCAAATAATATCTTATAATCATAATATTTTCTTAGGTATATCGAGAATATTCAATATTATTTATAGAAAAAGAACTGATTTTGAATAAATCTATTTAATAGAAGATAATAAACCCTTAATATATAGAGTTACAAGTATTGCTATTATGTTCGATTTATTTATTTCAAAAAGACTCTATTGCTTTTCCCTTTTTACTAGTCAAATATTCCCAGCCAATAATAATCAATTTCAACGAAGCAATAATTACAATCCTTACAGTTTTAATATAAATATTAATAGATATAGAAAAAATAAATAGCCTAGAAACAACTCTTTAATCAAGGTATTAATTCTCGAAGGTAGTATACCAACACACACTTTCCCATTACAAAAAGAACAAATATCGACTCTTAAAGACTTTAAGAATTTACAAAACGAAATTGTAAGATTCAAAAACAAATTGCTATAGTATAATCTTAATATTGCTTATTTATTTCAATCTTCAAGATACCGATAGCAATATTATATAAATTCCCTTACAAATCGCAGAGTCCGAACTTCTAATGTTCTAATCGATTCTATTAAGAGGGTATCTTTTATTATCAGAAAAAGGAAGAATAAGAAAAACCCTTGCTTGCGAAGTTAGTCTTCACAACAATTCCTTCCGAGTATCAATAATAGATCTTTTTCAAATCCGATTATTCTATTAAGCGATTTACAAATTTATCGAATACTTTATTTTTGTTCATTTATTATTATAATAGAGTGTTTGTATATTCCAAAGTCTATCAATCTTTTATTCAAATTTAAAGATGGTTGTAAAGTCAAAAGTAAGCCTTTGACAGCTATTGGTTATCGAGCGACTTGAACTTTATGAAAATTCGTTTATTTTGGAAATGTAATAGTAATTTTATATAGTAAATCAAATAAAAGGAAAAGCATAAGAATATGTATTCTCATTGTATATTTAAGTTCCTTGTTTGATAGGACAGCAATTAATTGATTAGCTTGTAGTCATTTATAAGAATCCAGCTGAAGTTGATTATGTATAAATTGAATATGAATATTAGATTATACCTAATAATATTCAATAAGGAAACTTCCTAGTATGGTATTGTAGATTTAGATTATTAGCTATACAGATGGAAATCATTGATCCAACAATTCTCCTTTGTAATCTAGAAAGAAAAATATTCAATTTCCTTTAACAAGCTATTAGTATTTATATTAATAAATACTATATTATTGAGAATCTAGCTATTAAGCTTATTAAAATCAATAAACTCGAAATTATACTTCGAAAATGTAATCGTTACAAAACGACTAAAGAAATACTTTTTAAAAAGTTATCTAGTAATACCAATTCATCGACTATTCCTAAAAACACTTTCTACTTATCAAATAATTCAAACTCATCTACTCAGTTTCATACCCAATATCCTCCTCACACTCCTATTAGTTATATAGAAATCTTTAAGTCAAATAATACTCTATTTCTAGAAAACAATTTCAATTATAATATTACTACCCCTATATCAGGAGTGAATTGCAATTTCATATTACATATAGGTAATATAAACACTATGGCCGAGATCTAAGAGATTAAAGAAAACGAAGAGTTCTATAATGTAAAAGAGAATACTGAGGATGTAAATCAAGAAATACAAGCAAAAGCTATCGAATCTGTTTGCATTGTTGAAGATCAACATTTAAATCAATATGCTTAGGTAGAAATTCCCTTCTAAACACAATTCGGAATATAAGATTCCTTGATTTAATAAAACTAATAAAAAATGATTTCATGAATCTATTATACATACTTTCGAAAAACAGATATTCATACAATATTCAATCTCTTATAGATTCTGGAGTGAATGGCTTCGCTTTTATTGATAAGATACTCCTTTCATTATTATTTCTTATATTCAAACCCTGCTTTATATTACTCGAACCATCAATTGAAGTTAAAAGCTATAATGATATACAAAATAAAGCTATCACTTATTTCATATTTCTTAATTTCATAATTGATGCTCAATAATAATCTTATTTGCTATTTCTTATTACCGATTTGGGTTTATATAGTATAATCTTAGATTGCAAATAATTAGCAGAGATTCAAATTAAAGTCAATTGTTTTAATCGATACCTCAAATGGCTTTTCAAGCATCCTCCTATTATTTCCTTATCAAAAAATATACTTTTAATTAGAAATAATCTTCAATAATCCAGAATCAGTTATTTGAAATAAAAAGATACTAATAATCGGAACACCCGATTGGAAAAGATATACCACCAACTTGATAATGGATAATCGATTATAGTATTGATTGTATCTAAAATATTTATTATTCTTTTTCAAGAAACTAATACAATAATTGTTGGAAGTTGTGGCACGTGCGCTATGCTACTGTGCATATATCACTTCCACTTCATAGTTAGATTTTACCTTAGTACTACTAATCTACATAGTCAATATTACATGCATTCCACTAGCCTACTCCTTTATTGTGAACAGATTATAAGCCCGGTAGCTTTGCAATAAGACTAAGGCTGAAAGCTCTTTGAATAGCTTACATTACCAAAGTAGAGGTTGATAATGAGAAATTCCTATACAATGTGATATCAATATATGAAGTACGTATAGTAAACAGATTATTGAGTAATGATAGCGAAATAACTATTTACATCGTACCCTTTCCTTTAAGTATAATAGTGAAATAATTACTTATATTGTACCCTTTCCCTAAACAAGAAAACTACGAGTTATTACTAAAAGGATTATTCATTCTAGCTTGATATTAAAGAGCTTACTAACTATATAATATTCGATATCACTTTAAAAATCATTATTTACAAATCAAAATTCATTGTTTTCAATTATTTTATCTTGAAGAGAATTTCTTTTTATAAATATTAATATATCCAAAATTAGAATAGTATAATCTAAACAATTCCTTTTCCTCTTTTATTCTTTTATTTCATTGTCAAAATATATTCAGATTATTGATACAAGTTTTCTATTTATAGAATCTCAAAATGAATAAAAATATTAGATTCAAGGATTATTTTAAGTATATCCCTTTCCTTACTTAAGAAAATCACAAACGCTGAATTCATTAAATAAAAATTCAATTTTGAGAAAAAGACTGATTTTATATATATAAGAAAACATTATAGGAATATATATAGATTACAAATACTAATGGATTAACTAAGGATTTTGAAGAATTCCAAATCTTTAGTAATAGCAACAATATTATAATAAAGATTTAATTTAATATCAATAAAAAGGTTATTTTTTTTTAAGAACGACACTAATATATTATTTTATATCTGTTATTTATTATCTAATGATGATGAGGTTTTAGTAGATGAATATGATATAACAAAAAAACTTTAGGATTATTTAGCCATCAAATATTTCAGAATCAATAATATAACAATAAACAAGTATTTCTTTAAGATCAAAACATACAACAACTTTCCAAGGGACGATTCACATATACTCCTTATTTATTTCCCCTGCCCCGGCAGGCTTAATGTTGGTTCAATAATGAGATCAGGAATACGGGAGACGTGGTTCCCACTATCATTAGTAGGCCCCTAAATGTCTGTATTGTATTCTGTCTAAAGAGCTAGCTAATGAGGGGAAGTAGTAGGCCTTATATAGACACTACTGAAAGAGCTAGTCTCCTTCGCATTCGCCTAAATACCTTTGATATAGTAGCCATTGTATTGAAGTCATTCTTTTGAAGTAAATTCCTTTGTTCACACACTCGGAACTCTTTTTTTTATGGCTTCAAATACAATGGCTGAAAAGAAATTCGTAAAATCATAAAAATCCTCCATCTGCTGACTAAAGTCCCTGACCTTTTACTAGTAGAACCAATCCCTTTCTTTAATCCCATTCCACCCACTTTATTGCCTTGATATCGATCTTATTTGTATTGATTAGATCAATAAGAGCTTGATATAGCTTTCCTTTCGTTATTGTATCAACCGGATTAATCGGATTATCAATCCAGATCATTTCAATAATCTCCCTCCACTCATAGGATTAATGTAATACCATAATATCGATCATTAATCTCTTTTCACTAATCGTTTCTAATTTCGTAAATAGGTTATATAATGACTTAAAATCAGTACACAAAACTAATGGAATCTCCTTACCGAGAATGACACTAATTGTAGAAATGATTGCTGTACTGATATCGAATCTCTGAACTAATCTATATAGCTCGAATATCAAAACATTGTGTGTGACTTTTTTGCATTTAATGGATAACCAATAAATAATATTAGTATTATTGTATTTATCCATTATAACAATCATATAGTCTATTTGAAATGAATAGTCCTTATTGTTTGCAAAAGAGATATCAGCAAAGACAATAATCTTAAGTGAATCTAAGTTAAATAGCATATATTTGAGTCCTTTAGCAAAGTTTTCTTTTTGCCATTTGATATATTTATTTAATGTTGCAATATCATTCTTATCAGATTAGATCATCTATACCGCTATGGATAAATCAAAAGATGCCTTGGGTTGATATATAGTTATAATGTATACTCCGCGGGCTTATTATATAATATACTGTTTATATATAGAAGTATACTTCTGAATCTTACCATATATATTATACATATCCATGGATCTTGTAAATACAAGCTATAGATTGCTGTATTACCTCTCCTAATCAAGATGAATATTATTACTCTTGAGTATAAAAGTAATATTATTAAATTTTAATAAATAATTGTAAATGAGTTTCTCGCGATCCTTAGCCATAAAGCCAATTTGTTTGAATTGCTTATCCTTAGCTTGTATAAATATATTATCCCTAATAATAAATGTATTATCTATCTAAAGCTTTATAATGCCGAATCCAGTTCCCTTATTATTAATAT